TCTGGCATTGCCTAATCAATATAGCACTACGTGTTTTGATGTTAAGGTAGACCTTCATCCACAGTACTTTTTCTCCTGGCATGTACAAGCTGATTCTATCATCATACTCTAAATAGTTTACATAACCTACAAAACATAGAAAAGTTACTGATTTTCAATTCTCTTTGACAACAGCAGGGTACGTAAGCATTTGTTAACATGCTGTTAGGGCTTTTGTTCTTTTTTAGTGACACTTTCGTAGCTCGATTCTCTCAACAACTAGACAAAATTCTTTTGGACTGCTTTAAGCAAAGTATCTTGGAACACTCCATTTCTCCCTGTGTTAGAACTGTAAGATGGAGGAGAAACATGTTTGATCAGAAACAGTTTGATTAGACTTTAGGATACAGCAAGGGACAAACCAATTGCTCACCTCATGTTCAAGTTTAAGAATGTTCTGTCACCTCTGGTAAAACTTAGCAGAGCATGTAAGCAAGCCACAGTTTACTTACAATCTTATTTATTACTCTGATTATATAAGAAGGTGTTATTACCAAAACTCAGAGAGAGAAAGAGACAGAGAGGGAGAAGGAGGGAGGAGAAAACTAATATTGTTTGCTTCATCTGTAATACAAAGTTCAGGGGAAAAGTTTATTTTTCCATTTAATTACTTCTTTACATACATTTATAGTAATTAGACATCAGATGCAATAGCTAAAGCAATTACTGTATGTCATTTCAGAGAATTACAGTATAAACATACAGTAAATACTCAATAATCCATGACAGGCTACTTAAAAAGTAATAAGGAAATTTAATTTAAAATGTGGAAGCTGAAATGCATGGTGTGCTTCTGAATGAGATGCCCACAATTACAAAAGAGGAAGCCAAACCTTCATAATCTACCCGTGTTAATTCTCTGTTCTTCACAGAATGGGTCACTGTCCATGCCCCTTCAAAATTATCATTAACAATGCATGATAAATAGTAGCTTAGAAAATAAAACTCCCTTCTTCTTCCCCACCTCCTCCTTTCCACTGGCATCCCCTCCCCTTTTTCTCACACATCCTTTGATACACATAGGAGGCCACAAGATATGCACTGAGAGCTAAGGGGACATTAAAGGCATTGACTCAAGAATACAAAAACTCAATTTATAATAATGTCAATATAAGACTTCTTGACTTGTGTTCTGAAGATCTTTTTAGAATATGTTGTAATAAAATGCATAAGGAATTGAGAACATAATGGAACTGAATTCAAATCTCAGTTTATTCATTGAGGAATGTTGGGAATGTTATCAATGTATCATCATCACAGTTATCTTATCCATAAAGCAGAGATGTAATTTTTAATTAGTTTATAAAGTATTGGTATCATTTGATCAAAGGGTCTGGGGCAGAATAGACACTAGGTGAATGACTATTCCTCCTGTTTTATTCATTTATTTGTCTAAATGAAATGGATGAGTCTGGACACTTGCTCTTTCTTGTTCAGTCATCCCAACCCATGTAACTTCTTAGAAGAATGCTATTAGAGTGTTTATCTATTGTTGAACAGCATACATTTATCTCTCATTCACCAAAGAAATGTCAAGGTACAATGTCCTCTTAACTTAAACCAAATACTGAAGACTAGCTCCATGCTCACCATGCTTCCTCCATTATGAATTCATGAGCTTCTGAGCTGTCTTACATAATCTTCCATGACTGCAGAGTCCTCTAGTTGTATCTGCTTCTCACTGTCTTGATCTAACATCCCTCTCCAGTGCTGCATGATGAGAAGTTTATCATTGAAGCAGGAAAGTCAATTTCTCTAATTTTGGAATGATGACTAAAACTCTGGAAACTTGCATTCACAACAATGATATTGTCTGAGACTGTGCAATATCTGACAGGTGTCTTTATTTCTGAGACAGTTTTGATGATGTTGAAGTAGCTTTAGTGACCACCTATAGGGACTACTAGTGATAATGAAGTAAAATAATTATTTATGCATTATGTGATTCCTGTCAGTCCTTGTGTTGTCTCCTTCCATTAACTGGGGACCCAACATGTTGACACTAAGGATGTTTTGGTTGTGTTCTTTCCTATGCACAGGTCTTTCCAGACAAAGCTTTCCCCACCCCACCCCCCAAAAAATGCTAACCAGTGGTTACAGGAAACACTTGACCAAAAATTGTTCCATGGTGAGATAGAAAAACTATTCATATCACCTCTTGACTGCTTGCCAAGATCACTGACACAGAAAACCCCAAAGAAGTCAAGAATGGGGTTGCTATATTAAAATATGCACGTTTTATTTTCAATATGGACAAGCTACTCTGCTTAATCTTATTTACATCGTCACTAAAGTATGGATACAAGAATATGAACAATGCTATATTCTAATGTTCTTCCCAACTCCTCAACTATCAGATGAATAAAACTGAAGAACAGATTTACACAATGCATTTTAAATAACTCCTACAGTTATTTATACACAAGGCCACTCCTACAGTGGCCTTGAAGAGAAAACTTCTAAATTTGGATATACTAGTTTGAGTAATTTGTCTAAGTGCTACTCAGGACACCAGTTATTCTATACAATGTTTTCAGGAGTCACTTTAGATGGTCATTAGTGCCATTTCCAAATGTCAAAACTGCTTCTCTGAGTAGTTAAAAGACACATTGTCCCACAGCCACTAATGGTGTCCCTGTCTCTCACAGCACCTCTTTCCCTCAGGAGTCGATTAGATACACTGAGACATCTTCTGCTAGGCTCTACAGTTAAAATAGATGAGTCAGACTCAGACCTGAAGTAGTCATTATCAATACAAGCACTTTTCATATGTGACAGTTGTGCAGCTTGGTCCTCTTGTGGGACTTCTATCGGTGGGAACAAGGGCTGTATCCAACTCTTTTAATGCCTTTTGGGACCCTATTCTTCATACTGGGTCGCCTTACTCAGACTTAATACATGGGGAGATGCTTAGTCTTACTGTAACTTGATATGCCATGTTTTGTTGATACACATGGAAGAACTGCCCTTTCCTAAACAGAAATGGAGGAGGAGTGGATTAGGAGGTGGGAACAGAGGAGTGCTACGGAGAAGGACTGGGGAGAGAAGAGGGAGGGAAACTGCAGCAGGGATGGAAAATAAATAAATAAATAAATTTATTAAAAACAAAAACAAAGAATCAAACAAACAAACAAACAAAAAAAAAACGAGTTTTTAAAGAGAAAGGAAAACAGCCAAAGAAGACTTTTTTGTTTGTTTTGTTTTGTTCCACCCACAGATCCCACCTCCTCCTTCCTCCCATCTCCCAGCCCTCCCTTCCCAAGCCATCCTACATCCCCACATCCCCAAAATTAAGGTCTCCCATGGGAAGTCAGCAGAGCCCGGCACACTGAGCCTAGGCAGGTCCAAGCCCCTTCCCACTGTACCAAGGCTGTGCAAGGCACCACACCACGGGCACTGGCTTCCCAAAAGCCTGCCCATGCACCAGGGACAGATCCCGATACCCTGCCTGGGTGCTCCCCCAACAGTTCAAGCCAAACAACCATCTTTCATATCCAGAGGGCCTAGTCCAGTCCCGTGGGAGCGCCACAGCCACTAGTCTACACTTCATGGGCCTCCAGTAGTGTGGCTGGTCATTTCTGCATGATGGCCAAGTGGTCTAAGGCGCCAGACTCAAAGAAGGCTTTAAACAAAGTTTAAAGTTTAAACATTAAGTTAAAGTTCTATTATTATATTGCAAATCTTTCAAGAAAAATGTTATTCCTATTTGTATGTAGAGATTTGAGGTAACTGAGTTGATTTTATTATTTATTTTTATTATTATCTATGAAAAGATCTCCTCTCAGATAAACCTCAGCCACTTGAAAAAGCCAGAACATAACTGCTGCAGAAGTGCCTTACTCTCAACGGAGGAAGGCAAGCTCACCATGTCCTCTCAGATGCTCCTGGCACCACACACTCATGGTGGCTCTGGTCATGACTTTCCTTTATTCTTGGTCTACAATCTTGGAAAACAATCCCTGTACCCATCCCTCTCATTGGTGCTTTCCAAGAAATCTCCTTAAGTTTCATTTTTCCAGGTACATTCACTCAAAAGTAGTCAAGTTGATTGAAAATGTTTAAAAATAATAATAGAAATTAGGTTGCTCTAACTGGTACTCCATGCTCTCTCCAGGGAACAGCCCAAAACTCAGGACCCTCCATACAGCTTAAAGAACTTGATCCTTTCCTGCACACATACTCAGTGAAATGGATTTTTCAATATTCCCTCAGGACAGTCCTTCAAAATCCAATTCTCACTGTCAGAACATTTTTACCCTCATTCCATCAGGATCCTTCTCCTCTGTACATTTTAGTATTCTATCCCATTATCCCTGAACCTGTCCTCTCTGCCAGGGCAAATAAACGCAGTGTCCTTCAGCTTCTGGCTCTGTCACCCTGCCACCAGCTCCCTTTGTTGTTCATTTTATCTTGTGTTTTCATGGCTGCTGACTTACTCACTTTTGAAGTCACACAAGCCTACCAATCCCTTCATTTGCATTTTCCTAAATATATCAAAGATGTTTAAATTCTAGAATCAAATCATTTGGATTTGTTCAGAAAGCAGCTTTAGACATAAAGCAACTGAATTCTTTAAAAACGTGGAATGAAAAAAAAAGAGCATTATGATTCAAAAAAGGAGAAGAAAAAAGAAAAAGAAAAATAAGCCTTAATCTACCCCTTTCAATGCAACCTCCCGCAACAAGTGCAGGTATATGCTTCCACAGAAAAAATACCGAGAAAAGTCTATTCCTTCAGGAATGATTTGGAAGTACTTTTGAAGCTTGCTGTGTTCTTGAGGTGAATTATGATTACAATGAACCTGAGAAGTGATGTTGCTAAGGCATGCCTGTAAAAGGGTTTCCTTTGTGCCAAAGAGTTTTGCTGATTCTTAATTAAATCAGATCTCTCTCTCTCTCTCTCTCTCTCTCTCTCTCTCTCTCTCTCTCTCTCTCTCTCTCTCCCCCCCCCTCTCTTCCCAGTTTATTGTTTTCTATTGGCAAGGCCTGAGCAAGTTCAGCTGACCTGGTCTTGAACGTCATCATTCCTCATTCAGGTGGGTGCCTTTCAGGTGACATGGTGAAAGCAGACATGTTGGCAATTTGGCTCTATTTGAGAACTGAAACTATTCGGGGGACTATGGCAGAATTACCTGGGCAGCACTTGGTGGTGGCTTTTAAGTTGTAAGTAAATCTGTTGTCATTTTCAGATCATTATTCTTGTCAACACTTATTAAAGTGTGTAGGGGGAATCTGCTTGTTTTGTTTCCCTGTGTTTAACTCTCTAATTGACTTTGATGATTTATACTTTATTTAAAAACTCAGATATTCCTCATAAGAAAAGATTGTTAGATTTTGGTGAGCCTTCATTTAGGTACTTGAGGGCCTCTGATGCCATAGGTTAACCTAAATGCTAGAAAGATGTAATTGAATATGACGAATATGACATCAGAGCAAAATATGTCTTAGTGAGGCCTTAACCACGTGAGTTAGCCTGAACTAATCAAATGCAGCCAAGGAGCCTTCTGGGATGAATGCTATAATGCTCTGGGTTTCCCTATCGTTTTCTTACTGTCTTTTATTTATTTATTTGCTTGATTAGATGAACATTTAATTTAGTACAATGCTTTAAAATATTCTATGCAGTTCCCCGGATATGTCACAGTTTTCCTCATCCAAGTCCCCATGATTGTGAGAGAAACTTACCTGCAGCATCAGCAGCTATTAACTTCCTAAAACAGACACACTTCGAGGAAAGGGAAGCTGTGGGGCAGGTGGTTTTTTTGGTCTTTTAATGTGTTTTGGGTCTGGGATAATTTTCATTGATTAGGGGGATTGGTTACAAGTTGTTGTCAAGGGTTAGGAAAAGGGCTAAGCAAAGGAGATTAGATTTAAGGTTCTTGTTTAAAAAAAGAAAAGAAAAGAAAAAGACAATTATTAGTTTTAAATACTTTACATTGGATTGGATTGTTTTATATTGTATACAATGTATATATATATATATATATTGAAATTGATATTGTTAGAAAATGCTATATGTATATTTCTAACTGTATTTACCATTCATTTAACAATGTAATACAATTCTCTGATCTTTGAATGTTATTATTACCAACTATTAGGATATAAAGAAATGAAAGTTAGTTGTTAGACATTATAATAGAACTTGTAGTCATATTAGGTATGTTTTCAAGATTGAGCAGATATATTTTAGATAGACAGGTCACCTTCAAACCCTTCAGAGATCTACAGAATATGGCATTTAAAATGTTTTAATAACTTAGAAAATTTTTCTTTTTTGTTACAACTATGAGACATGTCGGCTCCTAGCAGTACCAATCTACTTCAGAGGAAATATGGGCATTGAAAAAAACTGCAATTGGAGTTAACTTTCATTGTGTCAAAAGTTAGCCACTGGACAACAAAGTATCCTCAAATCATCTGCTGACAAACAGGACAGACAGGACACGAAACAAAGGACTACTGATTCTTGCCAAAACAAATGTGGTTATGTCTTTATCAAAAGGCATCTTCTGAGGCCAGGACAATATGGCACCATCCCTGAAGTGGCCTTTGAAATCCGGAAAAGGTACAGTGCCCTTTTTTTAAAGGCAGCTGAACAGGCAATGGGCCAAAGGCTTCTGATGTGCAATGAAACATCAGCTGAAACAGTTATTCTTGAAGAGTAACTAAGCTCACACTTTTCAATAGTAGAATGGCATTTAATAGAGGGATGTGGAGAAGAACGGGATGCTGAGATGAAGACATACACACACATAGCCAAGAAGAATGGACAGCTGAATTCAAAAAACATCAACAATTTCCAAAATTTAAAATCCTGAATCATGACATGACACTAGTGGAATTCAGGTGTTTCTGGTACATGGACTGCTCTCACCCAATGTGAGGTTGAACTGTTAACCTTGTGTACATCCTACTTCACAAATGAGTCTGTCAGATACGCTAAGCCTATAGGCTGAAGATGATGCCCCAACACTGCGGAGAAACCTCAGTGACTGTTCAGGCAGCTGGCTGTTTCTGTCAACTCACATTTTTTTTTGGGGGGGGGAGGGGGGAAGCTGCTTGCATGCACTTCCTGTTTTTATTTTTTATTAGGTAATATTTCCTTCTTGGGTCTCTGAGGGAGTTGAAGATTAGTTAGTTATAGTTGAAGATTAGTTAGGATAGAAAGTGAATTAGGTACATTTTGGACTTACCAAAATAGGATAGATAAGGGAATTATTTTCTCTGAATTTTTCAAATACAAATGGACTAGACATTGTTTAGGTATTTATTACTTGTATATATTGTATATAGTTAATGTACTTTTGTATATAGTTTTTCTTATGTTAGTTATAAGCTTTTTCCTTTTTATTAAAATAGAAAAAGGGAAATAAGGTGATATTTTATTTGTACTAAAATGTTATTTGTATGTTAATAAATAAAGTTGCCCGGGGGTCAGAGCTATTAGCAAGCCATAGGAAAGCTGGGCGGTGGTGGTGCACGCCTTTAATCCCAGCACTTGGTAGGCAGAGCTAGGTAGGTCTCTGTGTGTTTAAGGATACAGCCAGCATTGGATACACATGCCTTTAATCTCAATACCAACCATAGAAGACCTGGAGGTCTGTACAGACAGGCAGTGATGAGGCGGTCATGTGGTTGGGTTTACAACCAATGAGAAGGCAGAACCGAAAGTCTTTATAAAGACTTTAGCACAGGAAGTAGCTCTCTTTCGGAGAGGTAGGACCACCGCAGGAGGAAGGGTAAGGTTTTAGCTCTTAGCTCTGACCTCTTGGCTTTCTTCTTTGCGTTGGTTCTGTTTCTTATTTAATAAGACGGCTGGTTACATCTACAGGAAGCCACTAGCTGTTTCACAGAAAAAAATGCAATGCAGATTTTAAAAAAGGTATTTTTTAATATTACCTATGCAAAAGCATAAACTAAATGTCTTCATCTACCTTGTGCCTCATTTTATCAAAGTTCAAAGGGGAAGTTTATTCTTGAATACTGCTAATGGGGTGACCAAATTATTGAATACAATGTCTAAATAGAAACTTTTAGAGAAGTTTGAATTGTTAAAGATATCATTATGAACTGACATATATATATATATACATACATATATATACATACATATATATATATATATCACATATCTGGTGATATTTTATAAATGTATACATTATGTGATGTTCAAAACAGGGAAAACATCTGTCCCTTCAAACATTTTTATCTTTCTCTGTAGAGAAAACATTATCCATTACTTCCTTTATCGTAAACATTTTATTCATTCTGTTTTTGTAAGTGTGATTTGCAGGTACCACAGAGTAGGCTGGATCTCTTGTAAATGGAATTGCAGGCAGTTACAATACGTGTATGCAATACAGGGGCAGGGAACTATACTCAGGTTCTCTACAGAAGCAGCAAGTGTTCCTAACGGCTGAACCATCTTTCTAGCCCTCTTTTGGTTTTAAAAGAAGTATGTAGCACATTACCATTCTTAACTTTAGCTACCATTTTGCAACAGAACAATAGGATGTGTATGTTTTCTCTGTAAATTAGTACCCACTGATAAACAATTCTCCACTTTTTTTAACCCCTACTTTATTGAGCCTTGTAGAAAATACTATTACATTATTGAGTTCTGGGAGCTATAAATGGAGCTGACTTTTTTATTGATATATAATTTATAGTCCTTTCCAAATATCCCCAATTTTATATTGGCAAAAGTCATAAATGATAAACTGCAAAATCCTATACAACTACATAATGGATTAGGCTGACATTTGGACACATATTGGAAACACTTAAAGGAAAAAAAAGACTATATAACAGTGATAATGTAACTACAGCAAACAAGCTTGTATTATTAAGGTTAAGAAATTATGCCACATAGTAACAACTGTGAAAGTTCCTGCTAAAACTCACAACCTTGATTCAGAACAAGGGCTTTGCCAGCAGGAAATCACAGCAACATTTATAATTCTATACTTATAGCCTAATAAAATACATGGAATATTTTCTCTGTTTCCTTTAGTCCACAGAGCTCTATCTGATGCAACAAAAGAGAGACAACATTACCCAAGGCCACTACCCAGTGCACATTGGTTTTCTCTGAACACACTAGGTTTTAGTCACTAAGCATAAATGTCCATTTGATTTGAAGAAAAGTGTAATCATTCAATATAGAACATTCAGTTTTTCTCCAAGACAAAAGGAAAAACATGTAAAGTATATGCAAGGGTGAAAATATAAAAACAGGGCGATGGCCGGGCGGTGGTGGCGCACGCCTTTAATCCCAGCACTCGGGAGGCAGAGGCAGGCGGATCTTTGTGAGTTCGAGGCCAGCCTGGTCTACAGAGCGAGATCCAGGAAAGGCACAAAGCTACACAGAGAAACCCTGTCTCAAAAAAACCAAAAAAAAAAAAAAAAAAAAAAAAAAAAAAAAAAAAAAAAAAAAAAACAAAAACAAACAAACAAACAAAAAAAAAACAACCAAAAAAAACAGGGTCAAATGTTCGACAAAAAGAAATATCCTCTTCATGCGACTTACAAACGTTAGCACAAATTTCAATATTCCATCTTGAGAAAGAACTGAACAGTCACACTTCCCTGTTTTAGATTAAAAATCAAGAACTCCAAAGAATGGTACATGAAAGATACACTTTAAAATATTTATGCATCCTAAATTTACACTCAATAATTGTGTGCACAGGTATGCAACACTCGTCACCTTAAATTTATAAAACTAATATGTTATCTTAAGATACTTGGTGCTTTCATTTAAGCAAGTATGTGTTTCTTTAGCTTTTAACCAAGTGAGTGGATATACAGTCTAGTAATTATGAGGCACACATTCTAATTATTATTCCATAATTATTCTTTCTCTAAGTAAATCAGAGCTCTAATTATAGGTAGAAAAAACTTACATTCAATATTGTGGAATATTTATGTAAAATAGTGCTCTTAACACTTATCAGCTAAGCTATAACGTCTTGTAGAACTTACACAGCAATTTTCAAGAGTATATTATCCACTTTGGCCTTTCCTTACTTGTTCAATATGTATAATGTCGATGAGAGCACAATTTCAGCTCCAGAGTCTGTGAATCTCTATCAGCAATTAGTGTGATCCTACCATCTGTACTTTTAAGAAAATGTAGGTCCTATTCCATGTGATTACTTTTCTCAGAAAAAAAAATATCTTTGGCCTTCCGGACAAGTTGTACACCTATCTATGTAGCCACAAAGGACTGTGCTCTGAAGAATTAATGATGATATTTCTTTTACAAGAGATGATTACACAAATAAGTTTGTAATTAATACTCTCTAAAGAGAAACAGAGGATAAGCAGTCATAACCATTTTTTAAAATTATTTTATTAGGGATTCTCCCATTCTACCTCTTCAAAGTCTTTTTTTTTTCAAGTTCAGTTTTGCACATAGTTCTATTATGAAAATAAGAGCTTTGTAAGTGTATCCTAACACTATTACTGAATAGTGTATATCTTAGTACTAAAAGTTTAAAGTGTAACTTTTGACTTCTAGAATATTCTTTGAGAGCAAATGAAGTGTCACTCTCTCATTCTCTACATGTGTATAAGCATGTACACATGCACGTGCATACACATACACTAGTACTATTATGCCAGAATTAATGAATTCAAATATTTTAGGCTGTACTTACATATACTAAATATAAATTTTGGAACAATTGTACTTTTTTCTACTTTTCTACCTAAAGTGACAGGAGTGTTACTTAGTCACTTCAAGAGGTTACAAAATACAACTAATGACTATCTTATATTACAAATCAGGTCAATCCTGACGTATAAAGGTACAGCCAGAGATTCTCAGGTTTTCTATTTTTTGCAGGTATCCAAAATTTAGGTGAGCATTAATGTATAAACATTATTGAGCAGGGTTGTAGTTGGATCAGAAAACTCTACAATAATATAGTTTTCTCTACTCCTGTATTACTACTACCATTACCCACATATTCTTCTATTTCAATCTTAGGATCACATCCATAAATTCAAATTTCCTATAAAGTTTACTCATAAAATGCATGAGTTTTATAAATTTGTTGGCTAACGTTTAGCAATTACTTGTCCCTTTGTTTTTCATTGAAAGAAATTTGTTTTACATAAATATTGGGAGAAGACACAGTTCAAATCATATCTAATCAAATAAAAAGCTGTTTAAAGCAAGGGGTGAGCTTATAATTGCTCAGAGCACAGAAGTGTTGCATTTTCTGGCTTTTGTAGATTTACATTCCAACCTATCATGCTGATTTAACAGTTTAGCTTTGGGATGAATATATAAGCACCTGTAAGATGAGGATTTCAACCTTTCTGGGGATCATATTAGAAATGAATTGAGGCGTAGAGTACAATTACAATATTAAGTCCCAAACCACTGCATTATTGAAAATTATTAGAAAAGATTGTCAATTTGTTCAGTGGGCTCTGGGCCAAACTTCTATAGTAGACACGAGATCTGTATCATCTATTTTGTTTGAAGGTAAACATGCTGACAGAGATATTTACCATAGTCAGTTTGTCAACACCAGAGACACTGGGTTGCTTGCATACCTTACTTACTAACCTTAGTAAGTTATGAAGCTGTGGTGGTGGGTTCTATGATTTGATGTGTATTGTGGCACATAGGAGAGACATACACCTACAGCTGTCTTCTGTATATGTGTGTTCATGTGCTCTTAAATGCACTAAAACCTTTCCGGGTCAGCAGCCAAGTAATTGTGCAGTATATTCTGGGGATTCGTTTTCCCCACACTTGAGGATTGTTTTCAACTGAATAGGCTTCGTTACATTTATAACAGAGCTTGTAAAATGTCCTCTGAGTGGAGAGCTTGTTTTGTTCATAGAAACTCATCATCTAAAAACTACGTCCAGTCTTTCAACTGTCCTTCAGTCTCCTTATTTCTGACTCTCTCACATAGAACACATTACCAAGACAGAAATTATGGCAATACTAAAATACTCAAACAAGAAAAGGAATTCTAATTTGACTTCTAAACATTTGATGGATAACTTCTACTTACTCAGTGTAATGGGGATTATAAAAACACATATGGTCAATTTGTGTTCTTTAAGTAGATTTAAATTCAATTTTGAGTAAACCAGAAAAGGCATCTTAGATTTTGTAGAATTATTCAAACAAATAGGAAGATGGGGGTTGATCCTCTCATCCTCAAAAAACAATGTGACTACTCTTTTTTTCTAAGAAAGAAACGTTTCATTGAGTTAATAGAAATGGTTCAGCAGATAATTTAGGTCTTAAGAGAACATGCACATTATTTGAGTAATAAGGCACACAATTTAAAATTTTACTACACTGATTTAATATTTTTGTTCCTCAGTTTCTACCTCTATCGTGTGAATCCAGCAATAGTACTGACTTTTAGAGTTATCATAAAAAATAAAAATAAATGAGAATTCCGAATAGATGTAAGATATATAGATAACTGAATATTACTATTAGAAATTTAGACATATGCTTGTCATGTAAACAGTTTTCTCTCTTCCTCTCTCCAACTCTTCCCATTTGTGTTTGTGTGTGTGTCCATGACTGTAGCATTCAAATAAGCACAAAAAAAATTCATGATTAGTATTAAATTGTATTTCTTTTCTCGTTACCTGTAAGTAAGTGTGTATTTGTGATCATTGTGATGAAGAATCTTGGCTCCTTAAAAGCTATTTCAATGGAACATCAATCAAAGTTAATTACAGGATGTTCTTTATTTTATCCATTAATTTGAGCTTTCAAAATCAAGAGCAGATTTCCGGCCACAGTGTATCAGAGAATAAAAATTAAACTCAGTTTTAAACTTATATGCAATTCTAGGACTGCAGCATAGTTCAGCGGGGAAGGGTGCTTGCTACGAAGGCTGATGGCCTGTGTTTGATAACTTCCACAGCATGGAAGAAAAGAACAACCCCCCAACCCTACCCTGCTGCAAGTTGTCCTCTGATAGTCATGTGCACACTGTGGGACACACATGACCTTGCACATAGACAGACAGACAGACAAACAAACACACACAATGAATTTATATTCTCTCTCTCTCTCTCTCTCTCTCTCTCTCTCTCTCTCTCTCTGTGTGTGTGTGTGTGTGTGTGTGTGTGTGTGTGTGTGTATGTACAACAAAACAACCCCTTAAGATATTGTTCTATCTTCTTATATTCTCTTCAGGAATTCCTTACTGCTTCTACTGTTGCTTATGCATTAATTAAGTTGTTTCACTTCCTAAAATCTTCTGACACACATGTTCCTACTGTGAAATGAAGTTTCCACGCTTTCATCTTTAACAGCTCAATGAAATGAAAAGGATTGGAGTTCTGTGTTTCTAAATGAATTGCAAAGAAAACTCTTGACACACGTTAGTTTGAATGTGAGCTAATTTGAGCTATCACTGTTCCCAATAGGCATATGTGTATTCTTGGTCAGCAGTGTGGCATTCTTAGGAGGCAATTTAAAAGGAAACTTTTAAGAGATGATGTCCAGTGGGTAGTTTTAAGTCACTGGGTATATGTCCTTGCAGGAAATTGTGAGACCAGTCTCTTCCTCTTTTTTTCTTTTCACATCCTGGCTAAGAGGTTAGCAGCTTCCTTAACACATGCTAAAGTCATGATGTGCTGACTTGCTTACATGCACAAAAGCCAACCAATTCTGGACAGATAGTTCTGAATCCATTAGGCAAGCCAAACTTTTCTTGTGTTTTGAAAGCTTACCTCAGATATATTAGTATATTAATAAAACATAATAGAGTGTGATATTGAACTATATATCTTGTTTGAGATTTTTCTGTTCTTAAAGGGATTATAATCTACGAGAGAGACTGGTTAAGGAAAATAACCACACAGATAGTACTGATGGCTGATTTAGAATGCACAGTGGATTGAAGCTTTACCCAGGATTTTAGACAATGCTAACAGAACTTAATCTCTTCTGACTGAACACTGCTCACCTTCATGTGTTTCTTTCATTCTCTGACAGTATATCTTCTCATAGTTATGAGGACCAGTCAGCATCTCCTGGAGCAGTTTCCGTTGGTATTCAACAATACACACAAGGTAAAGGCAATCCAACATCAGAGAAATGTTTACTTCTTAGTTCAAGTGATCCCAGCAGTGGCTCAACTCTGAATCCAACTCACTAGCCCATGCTTAAGCCAATTTATTTGAAGAGGCTCTAGAAAGCTCTAGAAAGCTGTGGCCCTGTGTTGTTTACCAGTGGTGTAGACAGTAACACCCTGCCTGAATCACATGTGTCAGCAGAGAACACAGCAAGTCCCCAGATGAACTCCAAGGCTATTTCTTAACAAACCAATGAATCCATTGAAGAAGTCGGACTGTTGGTATTTGGAATGATAAGACTATGTCTCATACAGAATCAGATGAAGCCTTTGCCAGCCACATTCTTTCTTTCCTATTTTTGGCTATTTTGCAATTTCATTCAATTTAGTAAAGAAAAAGAAAGTGCCAATGAAGTTCGACATGAAAAAGTTGTTGAGAAAAAGTAAAAAATAAATAAAATTCTCTTCTATCTCTAATGAATTCAAAACCTAATGAATAAAATATATGGGTGTGCATATTTAATATATGTATACATCTTCAAAGATATTGGGGATTCAAGAATTTACCACAGTGATCATAAAATTATTGAAGAGCTAATTTCTCCCCCATTCTCTGGATGAATACTACCTTTGTAAAATTCCACAAAATAAGGAATTAGGGGATAAGCGGTGACACATTCAGAGAAAAACTGGTATCACGTTGCTACTAAGCTCTCTGAATGTGTTAATGGCATGCTTGGAGTACACTAGTAAAGAACTTCTATACTGTCTGCCATGTGATTAGTGTTCTGCACAGCACATCTGTGAACATCTGCTGAATCCACACGATGCACATTAACTACACCAAGCATTATATTTATGTTCAGGAAACTGGTAAAAAGGGCTAGTGTGTACTTAGAGAAAAGATATTTTGATCCTTTTCATGCAGAGAATCTTTGTGCAATCTCTTTTAAAACCATGTTTGGGAAGAGTGGAGTGTAGCTCAATGTGAAGCCCTATGATCAATTCCAAGTGTCACACAGGAAAAAAGTCTCTAGGAAGAGAAAATAAAAATGTATATTGACTTTATGAAGTGGTCATGAGGAATCAGCAATGTTTTTTCTTTGCCTTTTTTTAAACTGAGTGCTCAGTGACTAATAATTTAGGCTTTTAAGGAAATACATCTTTGTAGCAACTAATTCATTTGCTGAATCCTGGTCATTAACAACAACAAACAGACAAACATCAACAAAAACTCAAACCTGAACTAAACAAAGGAAACATGCCTGGTCCCTAAGAAACCAGAGTATAGTGTGAGAAGAAGCTTGATGAGGGCCCCACACCACTATAAGCTCCTTTTACATCTCAGTTTCTAAGGTTCTTCTATTTTATTTTCAATTTCTACTAAAAGAGCTAGTCATTTTGGTATCATTCTCAGTGTCCTATATCATCAGAAAAGGAAAGAATAACTCACTACCAATGGAAGTAAGATTTTTGTTATACTTGCATTAACCATTCCACATATGTATCCCTGAGCCAATTATTGTATGCCTTCTTAGAACAGGTCTGTGTCTCATGCTCATAGCTGAATTAAAATATAAAATGCACTGCATCTCAACACACCAGCTTCAAGTCATTCCAGTTCTGTATGTTCTACATACATACACAAATAAGGAAGAAAGAAAATATTTGTGTTGAAACAAGAGGGAATGTATACTAGGAAACTATAAAGGAAGAATGTTCATGGGGAAAACCAAAGAGAAGAAATCCGAGACCCCTCTTCCCAGAATCAGTCTCTTGCAATTGACATTGTTGATATCAGTCCCAAGCTCTGAGGAAGTGGAAAGACTATGTGAGACTTATCTTTGCCTTCAGAAGGCTATAACTAGAACCAAAAATTAAGGGAGAATTGAACATACAGTAGAGATGATGGAAAATGATATTTCATAGGCAGTTACCTGCCATCCCTCTGTGCTGAGCCTGATTGAACAGCAGCATATTTAGTAACATCACTAAATTAAAAACTACTGTGGGATGGTCTGTATGTCAAATTGTTCTGATTGGTCAATAAATAAAACACTGATTGGCCAGTGGCCAGGCAGGAAGTAGGTGGGACAAGGAGAGAGGAGAATCCTGGGAAGCAGAAGGCTGAGGCAGAGAGACACTGCCAGCTGCCGCCATGACCAGCAGCATGTGAAGACGCCGGTAAGCCACCAGCCATGTGGCAAGGTATAGATTTATGGAAATGGATTAATTTAAGCTATAAGAACAGTTAGCAAGAAGCCTGCCACGACCATACAGTTTGTAAGCAATATAAGTCTCTGTGTTTACTTGGTTGGGTCTGAGTGGCTGTGGGACTGGCAGGTGACAAAGATTTGTCCTGACTGTGAGCAAGGAAGAAAAACTCTAGCTACAAAAAACTGTGCTCTACCTACTAAAGTTTGTGTAAATCTGGACACATTGCTCTATACTTTCACTGCTTCCATTGCTGTAACTTGAAATAACCCACAGGGTTATTTGAAAACTACATATGAATTAGTATTCTGAAAACACTGGATAGGTTCTTTTCCAGATCACACAAGTCAGAGTGAACCCAGACTCTCAATTCACCAGAGTAATGAAGGATGCTCTTGCCAGGAATTGAGAGTTGAAATAACAGCAGGCTTTGGGGGAAAAAAAGCAACTTTTGTTTTCGTTCTATGTAAGTGTGTGTAGCTTGAAAGGACTGTTGAGATAGACAGTGACATATTGACAGTGATTGTTTAGGGAAGATTTTTTGCAATGAGAAGATCATTAGGTAGTGAATATATATATATATATATATATATATATATATATATATATATATATATATATATATAGTGCCAAATGAAGTTTGGTTCAGGAACTCCATGATCAATGTTATGCAATGACTGTCAGACCATAAAACCTGGAATGGTGACAGGTGCCTGTAGTCTCACACTTTGGGAAGTGGAAGCAAAGGGTGAGGAAAGTCAAGACTATCCTTAAGTACAGGGAGTTAAAGGCCAGCTTCCATACATCAGACCCTGCCTCAAACGTTAAAAGAAAAAAATGGCTATCATAAAGATTTTTTTTAATTGTTTAAAAGAGACTCTGCTGGGTATTGTATTTGACATGTGTCACCATTCAGCATAATTTAGAGAGTAATACTTGATCATTCCGTGTAACATTTACAAGAATAAATAATATCTTTTGGCAACTGAGCAAAGCACAAATAACATTTACCTTTTATTACCAACAACTAGAGTGGCCAAAGTGTCACTGCTGAGAGAAGAAGGAACTGCAAAAGGAAAAGATGGTTATGAATTTCTACAAAGAGGCATTCCATTTTCTCTCTTTCAGATGTGAAAGTAATAATAAAAAGGAAAGTTAATGTGGAAAAATGTTTTGAGAAATTTAAGGTGAGGTGAAGAGATGTAATATAGGAAATCACCTCTGACTATAACAACACTGTTAATTTTCGTTTTGATTGGTATTTACTTCATTTTCCCACTACATTGCTATTATTTATACACATTGTTCTATATTCGGATATTTAGCAGCTTGGTAAGTTCTCAGCCACTTACATGGTATGTCCTCTGCCCCATCTTTTCTTCTGCATTTGGCTGTTAAATGAAATGTGACAGTGGCAGGTCCTCATAATTGCATTTCTTTAAAAAAAATGGCTGCCCACACACATACTCAACTTAAATTTATGTGATTTATTTTAACCAAATCCTAAATCTTTTGTGCAAGAAAATATGCATTTTATGGCTGACCAATGGAAATATGTGCACTGTAGCTTGATAACAAGATGTAGTTGACAGAAACCATGAATCTTATTTTACAGATTAGGTCACTAAGAAAGATGCAGGGCAGGAGTGATTAAGTGGATTGCCTAAGGTCAAAAGCTAGAGCTGTCTCCTAGTAAAGTTTCATAATTCTGCCTTTTGTTCCTGCAATCATTCAATCCATTGTGAGGTTGGAAGCTGTGGCATCATATTCTTTATCTCTTATACTACATCTTAAAGCAGTATGAAATTCTGACAAGTAAAAAGTCTGTTTTAAGTGATAGCTCTCTTTTATGGACAGTGCAGGAAACCAGAAAACATACTGTCTAGTATATTTCATGATCACACATCCAGGAAACACAACAGCAAATGCAGTTTGATGTCCAGGGTTTTTATGTAATTGTATAAAATTGGGTGCATTTGAGTAATTCAGATGACTGGGCACCTTCATAGTTTGCATGCTCTATCATTAGTGGGTTCCATGCAAATGTTAACATCTCAGTAAGAATGGGTGTACTTAGAGCAAGTCTTATACATTGTTTTGCTGTGTTCCATTGTTCTTTATAGTGTGAATTGTAGCTGATAGATATTTTTAGGTTAATTTCAGAGCAATCAATCTATTTTCCTTATTTGAATACACTGTATCTTGCAGCCAAAGAGCAAGCCCACTTAACCAATGATGATGATTATATCTCTACAGGTTTGTAGCCTTCTGAATTTTACACATCACTTTTACATAATTTATCTTATTTGGCCCCCACAACTTCATGAATTTCTTTCGTGTTTTTCCCATTTTAAAAATAGAGACTCCAGTTTTTCGAGGTTAATTATCTTGCCCAAATGGCTTCCAAACTAGTTATTATTATTTACCATGGAGAGAAAAGGTACTTAATCAAGTCCAAAAGATCATCAACATCAGACCCACCATCATTTTATACTTCACTAACGAAAAAATATCTATTATACACAGGAGATATTATTAATATTATGGAGGCATTCCAATTTCAGTGATGGTAAAAAAAATGTTTTAAAATGTATCTAAGAGATGCAGTATGTGGAGTGATTATGCACATCCCATCAAATATTCCTTTTCTTAGGTACCAGACGCCTCGAACAGTAATCTCTGTGGACCACTTTCACCCTTGCAATTCACTCATAGGAATTCCCCTGAAATCAGGTACCCACCATCCCCAAACTTTTCTTCTTAATGATCAAGATGCCCAAATAA